TATATTGTAATTTTTGTTTTAGAAGGGATTGAAAAAACTTTACTTTCTTAGAATATTACATTATTAGTACAATCAAGATCACAGGTTTGGTTAGAATCACATTTAGTGCTGATATTGAGTGTTCTGCTACAGTTATGATTATAGATGTTTTACTATTCCACATTTCCTTGTGGAGATGCATTGTTTTAAATGCTATGTTTTATAGGACCCTGAATACCCCTGATAACTTTCTGCAGTTATATCTTGGCAGTATTGTAAAGACATTGTAAAGTACAATAAAGAACGTGGGGCTTTATTTCTCAGGACATCCTCATCCTCTCAGTGGATAATAGGCTCTATAGTGGCTGTGATTGTACTTTGCCATTGTACATTCTATGTTCTGAAAATGGTTCAGAAATGAATAAGGAGAACATTTTCCTTACTCGTCCATACCTCCAAATTCTTGATTTCAGAACTGCTACCCTTTTCAGTTAACTGTCTGCCTCCAGCTCAAGTCATGAACCCAGGGTCCTGGGATTGAACCCCACATTGGGCTCCCTGCTTCTCCCTCTCCCTCTGCCTGCCGCTCTCCCTGCTTGCACTCTCTCACTTTCTCTCGCTCTAATAAATAAAAATCTTTATTTAAAAAAAAAATACTACCCTTTGCTCGCTGCCACTTACTTTCTGGCTCCCTTACTCTGATTCCCCTACTCTTGCTATCCTTCAGTTCCACAGAGACCTCCAGTTTCCAGATGCTGCTCCTTTAGTTTTCTGTTACTTCTGTTGTGTCCATGGTCCAGTGGTAAAATCATTCTTTCTCAAACACCCTTGATTCCCTTGCCCCTCTTGTCTCATAATGTGTCACTTATATGGCAAAATCCCAACCATCTGCCTGCTTGCTGCTTGCACCCAAACAGCAGAAGGCTGCTAGAAAAAGCCCACATCTGTGTGTCTATTCTCACTTTAATTTTAGGACTGCAAATCTCAGATGGGCACTCAGAACTAGAGACAGTCCTATCCTACAACACTTCTGTGGTAAACTTTCTTTAACAGCCTCTCAGTGACTTCTCCACATATTTTACTTCAGAAAACCTCTATTGACAACCCTCTTTTCTGTGTTTACTTTGTACCTTAATGAAATAATAGATGGAATCAGATGTAGGTTGAAGTGCCCTATCTTCTCACAATCACATGTTGCTAACCTGTGTTGGTACCCACATCATCTGCCTTCTTTCTATCTTGTGAAAATGCAGTTCCCCTGACCATCTAAGCTCATCTTCCACTTGTGTTCTATATTCTGTCTCTGGCCTGCTGCAGTCATTAACCATTTTTTGTTATGCATTATTAGTGTCTCCTTCCCTAGTATATTATTCTTTTAGCATATAAACATGCTTAAATATCGTTCAATTTAAAACAAAAATCACCTGGATCCCATGGCTCCTTATCTAGTGTCATTTCTCCGCTACCCTATGCAAAAAAAATTTCTTGAATGAGCTATAAATATTTACTTATTTTTTTTTTTATCTCTTCTCACCCTCTTCTATTGGTCATTCTTTTTCTACAACTGCACAGAAGCTAGTCTTAACAAGTTCCTTAATGATAACTGTCTTGCTAAATCCATTGTTGTCCCCCCTCTCCCTCTCCAGCCGTCAGCCTCATTTTACACAGTTGACCTCTTCTCGTCTTCCTGGTACAGCTGTCTCTTGGTTTCTATCTTCCTCACTGGTTAACCTACTTCCTGTGCTTGCTTCTCTGGATGCTGGGACTTATTCCTGGGCTCCTCTGTATCTTCTGCTGCAGTCAGTGTCCTCTAGTCCTGATTCCTCCCCTGATTTTCAGACTCACACAGGTGCCTGCCTGAAATCTTCACTTGGATACCTAAAAAATTATAAATGTAACATACTAAAATTGTACTCCATCTCTGCCTTTAAACTTATTCCTCTGAAAATCTGCCCTATCTCAATAAATTGTACCATCATATACCAGTTCCTCAGACCAAACACCTAAAAATAATCCTTGATTGCACAGTTTACCTCATACCCCACATTCACTTCATTGGCACATCATGTTGGCTTTACCTTTTCAATATATCCTGATTTCAGCAACTTCTCATCACTTATAATCTCATCAAATCACCATCAGCTCCTGTTTGCATTATTGGGTGGTGTCCAGTATCTGGCCTCCCTGGTTTTATGTTGACTTTTGTCCTTGTTGAATCTACAGGGTTTCAAGAGTACTCTTTTAATGGTACCATCTGTTTATAGAACTCCTCTGCTTCAGTCCTCCAATGACTTGGATTAAGTTCTTGTTACTGAGACTACTATTTATTTCACAGACCTATGATACTCTGTGACGTAAATGCTTTTCCTTAGACTCCTCTTGGACAGCAGTGCTTAAGTAGGGCATACTGGTGTGTTTTGTTTTCACAGTGTTGGTCTATTTGATTTGTAAAAATTTAGTAACATTTAAAAATTGGAGAATTTTATATTAAATTAGATATTCTGAAAAACATTAGCCTTGCATTCATTACTTAATAAGGTAATAAGTAGCAGCTGGCTTCCTTTACGTGTGCATTCTCTAGTCTGCCACAGTCTTTACCACTCCCCCAGGGATCTTGTAGCCAACCTGATCTACTTAGGAAGATGACCTCTGCCCTACAGTAGGTCATCATTCATTTGACTTTTTTTTTTTTAATGGTACTTTGTGGCAAGTACAATTCTAAGCCCTGGATATAAAGCAGTTATATCTACAGTTATATCTATATCTGTAGTCTGACTACAACAGAGACTTAATATCATTGATTTTGCATTCCTTGGGACAGATAGTGTGTCAGTAAGCAAATATATAATGTCAAGTGTTGTTAAGTTCTGTGAAGAAGAGTAAAGCAGAGACAGCACATGTAAAATGGTGGAGGGTGCTGTTTTAAAGAGAAAGGGCAAACCTCTGTATGAGGAATTGACATTGGAACAGAGGCTATAATATAGGGAGGGATGGGGCCCTGAAAACGTTAGGAAGAAACTCTTTGTGGGGAGAGGTAGCAAGTATAGAGGTCCTGAGAAGAGAATCTGTTTGATGTGTCCAAGGGATGACAAGAAGGCCTGTGTGACAATGCATTGAAGGTGAAGAATGGTAGGTGGAAGGGAATGAGGTTGGAGAAGGGAGGCCAGGGCTGCATGGTGATTGGTGATAGGCCTCAGTCCATGTGGGTTTCTGGATTTTCCTGTGAGCAGGGAAACAGTTGAAAGGTTCTGAGTAGGACATGATGTGAAATCATTTATTTTAAAGCAATCTCTTTGGCTTCTGGCAGTGAATAAATTATAGCAGGGATAAGCATGGAAGGGAGGGACTTGTGTGGAAGCAGCTATAGAAGTGAGAGAGGGTGATGACTTCAGTAGAGAGAATTGTGAAAAGTGAGAGTTATGCTTAGGTGAGAAATTGAAGGTCGAGCCTTTTGGGTTTTCTGATGGTTGGATACAAGGCATGGAAAAACGAGAGGAGGGGTGCCCGGGTGGCTCAGTTGGTTAAGTGTCCATCTTGATTTTGGCTCGGGTCATGATGAGGGTCTTAAGATGGAGTCCTGCATCAGGCTCCACACTGGGTGTGGAGTCTACTTGAGATTCTCTCTCTCTCTCTTTTTTTTTTTTTTGAGATTCTCTTTCTCCCTTTCCCCTGCACATGTGCGCCTTCTCTCTTTCTCTTAAAAAAAAAAAAAAAGTGGGATCCTTGGGTGGCTTAGCGGTTTAGCGCCTGCCTTCAGCCTGGGGCGTGATCCCGGAGTCCTGGGATCGAGTCCCATGTCAGGCTCCCTGCATGGAGCCTGCTTCTCCCTCTGCCTGTGTCTCTGCCTCTCTCTCTCTCTCTCTCTCTCTCTCTCTCATGAATAGAATAAATAAATAAAATCCTTAAAAAAAAACGAGTGGAATTGTGGGGCAGGTTTTCAGTCAGAGTAACTGGGTGGTTGGAGGTGCCATTTAGCAACATGGTAAACGCTGGGAGAGTTCCTTTTTAGATGTGTAAAATGTGAGAGTCCTACTTGGTGGCCTAGTAGAGATAGAGTATAAACTTTACCTAGAAGATAAGCTTATAGCTCTGTAACACAACCTGAGATTTTTAAAGACTCAATCCTGTGAGTCCTGTAATACAACTAACATCAGTTCTTTGAACCCAGGGACATTGTTTTTTTTTTTTTTTTTTCCTCCCTTTCTGTTTGTAACATGTATTATAGTACATGATCTGGATTATGTTCTCACTGATGTTTTTGTTAAGAACCCACAGAAATGTTGCCATAGTTTTGGCCATTGCTATAAACACGCCTGTTATTCCATTATATTAGGCTTCTGTATCATTTTTATAAGAATTATAACAGAAACATTCCTTTAATAGACTCTTGTGACTTAATTGAATCCGCCAAATGATACTTAGTTTTTAAAGTGAGTCTAGCAAACTACTTAATTTGTTAATGTGTCAGCAGTAAATTTTAAATGACTTTGTAGGTGGGAATCCATGTATGAATAATTTTCTCTTTACAGTGGGGCCGAAGTGGAAGTATGCTTTTGCTATCACTGAGTAATTCTATTTGAGAAGGCTTAACTTTTGTGGCCTAACAGTGTGTAAATAAGCATATGATAATTTTTGAAGCAAAAGTCTTGTTTAAATCTTGCAACCTTATCTAGCAGTAATTACTGTGTATTTACTGTTCACTTGGGAAAGTGAGAATACTTTATAAGTGGGAATTTTTGTTTTCTGATATTATTAGCATTAACCTTATTTTGCAAGTTAGCATACTACATCCAAGTATATTTAAATTGCCTTAAGAACAGATGATTAAAGGTGGAGATAGCATTAGAATATAGTGTTTTTAAGGATACTCTGGGGAAAGCATGGATATATGATAGCAGTATTTAGACAAGCAGATGACATTTCATTACTGTGTTCATGTTAGCAAATAGTGATTTTGTAAGAGAAATATAATGGAAAGTTTTGCTACTACTCAAGGGTCTAATTATTCCTTTCCTGTACAGGAAGATTTTCAGTCAATGACATATGGATTTAAAATGGCTAACAGTGTGACAGACCTTCGAGTTACAGGTAAAACAGTTTATAAGATGATTCACAGGTTTTGTATTTGGATTTATATTTCCTCTTTAAACTCATCATCTCTCTTTTTAGGCATGCTAAAAGATGTGGAGGATGACCTGCAAAGAAGAGTAAAGGTATATTTCTTTTCTCTTTGTTTTAGTATAGGATTTTTGTATTCTTCTAAATGTCAAGTTACCTTAGCTAATTACAAATACCGAGTGTAAGGAGGACCAACAGCTTCCTTTCTATATGCTGTGCCTTTTTTGCAATTAATTTGAGGACAGCTAGAGGAAGTTGTTTCTGGTGAATTAATGTCCCTTTCAGGTATTGAAATTTTAACCATTTTTTTGCCACTGTTTTAGAATTATAGTATGCTCTTTTAAGAATAGCATAATATTCTAGAATTTTAAGTTCCTCAAAGTTAAGGACTGTCTTCTTCAACAGCTATTACAAGGTCTGCAGCACAGTAGAAGACCTCAGTAAATGGTCGTGTCCCAAATCTGCTGAAAACCATGGTTATCAAAGCAATTTTATATTACCACCTTATTGTTACCATAAATAGTTGATGTTTATAATTAAGCAGCAAATTAGGCAATAAAATGCATATAGTGCCCTATTTTTAGGTGAGGAAAATATAGCTTAAAAGAGTTAAGTAAACTGAGTCTCCTGAAGGGCTTGCCACTAGGGAGTGGCAGCGCAGGGCTCGCTCCCGAATCTTCTGCCATATCTTCCTGTACTACTGCCCTACAGTTGTCAAAGTAGCCAGTCACAGTTATGCTTTACAAGAGGTTTTGCATGTTAGTGTGGAACAGTCAGCATTTACCACGTGATTTTATTTTTATGATGTGATTTTTGTAAAGGTTACTGTTTTTTTCAAACAGGGTTAGTATTGAGAACATCAAGACTTTCAATTAATACGTCCTTTTAAAAAGAAAACAATATGATGTGTCATGTACTTATTTCATTCTTTTGCTTTTGATGTTTTTAATACCTTACTCTTCTATGTGATCTTTATAATTTATATCAAAATGAACTTTTTGTATGTAGTATTAATAGGGGGAAAATAAATACTAGATACAGCTTTTTTCTCCCAAATATTTTTCTTAAAAATAGATTCTTGTGTGTACTTAACAAATTAGGTTTAGCACTTTACCTTGTATTTTTACATATTTGTGTTTATTTTAATTCACATTTTTTAAAATTTTAGAGTACTCGAAGTCGACAAGGAGAAGAAAGAGATCCAGAAGTTGAACTGGAAGTAATTGAACTTATTTTCTGGTAGATAATATGAGAGAAGTCTACCTCTTAATGTTGTAGTTTTATGAACTGCGTTATAATTTATGGAAGCCCTTTTTAAGGTATTTCTTTAAAAATTGGACATTGCAAGGGATTTTATTTCCCTTGTACTTTTTTTGATAGAATGATAATACAGCTCTTTCAAATTCATGATTTCAAAGCTCTTCAGTATTCCTGTGAGGTAGGAAGAAAATGATTTTTTACAGATGATATGTCAAAACTTGGCAAAACTCAAGAACTTGGACAGTATGAAAAGTACTGAACCTTTGTTGAGATCTGTAATTTTCTGATGCTGCTTAAAGAATCTTTTTATCAGTCCTATTTAAAATGCTAATTAAATTAGTTTTTGAGATAATAGTCTAACTTCTTAAGGAAAAATCCATCCCATTGATACAGAGCTTTATATTTCTATTTCAATAGAACAAACTTTTTATTTTCTGCAGCTCATTTTTCAGGCATTTAAAATACTGTTAGTGAAGGTGTTTGTAATATAGTAAGTTATTAGCTTTGAAATTTAGGACTTATAACACTATATTTTAAAATGAAATTCCTTTAACAGACTTTGCATCTTTTAACTTCTAGTCCTTTCTTATTTTTTAGCACCAGCAGTGTTTAGCAGTATTCAGCAGGGTGAAATTCACTCGAGTGTTATTGACAGTGCTTATAGCCTTTACTAAGAAAGAGGTAAGAACATTTACTGTAATCTATTTCAGTGAACTTTTTGTGGGGGCAGGAGAGAAAGCAGGACATGGTGCTTTTTTTTTTTTTTTTTTAATTTATTCACGAGAGACACAGATAGAGGCAGAGACCTAGGCAGAGGGAGAAGCAGGCTCCATGCAGGGAGCCTGATGTGGGACTCAATCCCCAGACCTGGGATCATGCCCTGAGCCAAAGGCAGATGCTCAATTGCTGAGCCACTGACATGGTGCATTATTCAAGTAGTTCTGAAACTTATCCATTGAAACACCTCCAATCACACATATACGGTGTTTGGTATATTTCATATATATTTTATATATATATATATTTCCTATATATTTTAGAGATATTAGATAATTTTCTCAAAAAATCACAGGAATTTACATTCTACTCTATAACATATCCATATCTGTTGATATCTAAAATAGTGTTTTATATTACATATTAGGGGTACAATAATAGAAACTGCAATTGCTTGTGTATAGTCCTACTTTGTGAATTGAAAAGGAGAAAGCAAAAATCAGAATTTTAGGTAGACTTCTTTCATTCAGTTCAATAATTAACTGTTGGATTTGTGTAGAACCAAAAAAGCTCTAGATGGTGAATATTTTTTCTTCATGTGTATTTGCATTAACTCAAATCAATTATAGACTAATTTGTGGATAATTAGGAAGTGGTGAGTAGAGATCCAACCTTTTACAATTGATCTAACTTCTAAGTCTCTTTTTTCCTGCTTTTTAAATTTCACCTTAATGAATGGCATAGTAGAAATGTTGCAATTTTCCAGTTGACTGCAACTCAGTTTTTTTCCTTTCTTTTTTTAAAATATAAGACAAAGAATAAGCCAAAGATGTTTCCTATTATTTTTAAATGGCTCCTACCAGAACAGAAATGGGGAAAAAAAAAATTTCTATCCTAACAGGATCTGAGCATCCTGTAATAAGTGAATAGTTTGTGAAAACCGATGTCATTATAACATTTAATTTCATTATTGTTTATAGGATTTTCCTATTTAATGTATATCTTTCAGTGAAAGAATATGTAAGAATGTTTTTGGTGATTTATTTGCTAGACCAGTGCTGTTGCAGAAGCTCAAAAATTGATGGTTCAAGCAGCAGATCTTCTTTCTGCCATTCACAATTCATTGCATCATGGCATCCAGGCTCAGAATGATACTACAAAAGGAGGTAATTGTTTTACTCTTCCTCTTTTTTTTCCTTACCCATCTAGAATGTATAGAGTTTGGTTTGTTCTAAAATTTCTTTTAAGTCCATCTGTTTGGACCTCGGAATGTCTAAGTCCATAGACTTTTTATATAAAGTGTTTATGCTTTCCTTTAAAATTTATTATAGACCAGAAATTGGACTATAAAACTTGACTATCTCCTGTTTATTATGGTTTGGGCTGTGAATATTTAATATCTGATGATCATTCTGTAATGTAAGCAATGCATTCTTTTTTTTAAATCACCTCTTCCTTTACTCCATTGAGACATCATCTCTTCAGTTACATAGTATTTCCTGAATAGTTGGCCTATACCCTCTGTGGTCTTCTTGCACTCATACATACCTCTGTATAACATTTTTTTAGTACATCATATTATAATTGTTTACCTGTTTGTCCTTTCATGACAATATTTCAGGTCAGGAACTGTCCTGTTTGTGTTTCTTTACAGAGTTGGCACATTGGTGGTAGATTGTATTTATGAAATATTTCTTAAAATGAAAGAATAATGTACCTTTGTTGTATAAGTTGCAGCAGAGTTAACATTTTAGATAATATGTAGCAATTTTGATTCTTAAAACTCATTATAAAGAGATATTTATATTTTAAATTGTACACTTTTAATAAGATATATGTTAATTATATCTCAGAGTTGTGATTAAAAGAGGATGGAGCAATATTTTCAGAATTTGACTGGAAGAATGGTTTTTAATCTTGAATTCTAGTTTCAGACTGTCATTTAATTGTGAAGAAAAATAATACTAGGATTTAAAGTCTCAAAATTAATCTCCCAGAAGTTTTTGAAGGTATTACTGGTATATGTGTTCCATTAAAACAAGGGACTAAGGGGATTCTGGGAAAGGTGGCAGAGTAGAAGGATCCTAGGCTTACCTTATTTTAGAGATACACTTTATAACACCCGTATCAGTGTAAATAACCCAGAAAACAACCTGAAGACTGGCAGAACAGACTCTCCACAGCTAAATATAGAGAAGAAGCCATATGGAAGAGCGTAGGAGGGGCAAAGACACGGTCAGAAACTGAACCTGAATCCCAGAGCTATCTCCAGGAGTGAGGAACACTGAAGGTAGCAGAGAGGGAAGAGGAGTAGACCCCACATGGAGGCATGAGGGACCTACACTGGAAAGATGAATTGCCATAATATTTGGCTTTGAAATCCAGAAGGACTCAACTTCTTGCGTTTTTAAAGTCAATGGTGCTTAAGGCCTGAAACTTTAAAAGCCATCAGGCTCAGCTCTAAGGTAGAGGGCAATAGGAAACTGAGTCTTTGCCTTTCAAGAGACCGCATGACAATCCCACTGAGATAAAGCATAGAAGCAGCAGTTTGAGAATTTATTTGGGTAAGGGGATGGTTTCTAATCTTGAAATGAAATTTATTTTCTGGGCTTGGAAGTGTGCTGCAGGGACAGGAATCCTTAGGAGATTTCTCTAAGAACAAAAGAACAGATGGGTGCCATTTCCCTTCCCACCTACCCAGCCGAGAAGCACACCAGTGGGAACCAGTGGTGCACTCTCCACCTAACTTGTTAAGAGCACATCCCACCCTCATGCTCTTCAGACCCCTCCAACACACCCCTTACAGTTTTCCCAAAGCTACTATATCACCACATCAGACTGGCACAAAGGTTGCTAACACTGCATGCTGCTCCTTGCATTCACTTGCATTCCCACCCCCATCTAATACATCCTCAATTGAAGTTCATTTAAAGTGGCAACACAAGCATGGCAGTGTACAAGCATCCCCAACGGGGTTTAGCACCCCTCAGAGTGACTCCTGCCCTGGGGAGAAGGTAAGAAATCACACACATTGATCCAACTGTAGCCCCACAGTGGGTTGGGGACATACATAGGGTCTGAAAGCAGGCCCCAACCCACCAACAAGAAGCTAAGGTGATGACACAGGTAAAGTGGTCTGAGTACTATGTGACCACAGCTCTGGCAAATGCCTAGTCTGACCCAAATCAAGCCCAAGGCAGCAGACTGGCCCATAAATAACACAGGGACTAAACCCTGCTCACAGCAGACAAAGAGAGCCATTGTAGACGATTGAAGGTAAACATGGCACCGTCACAACAGTAAGGCACACACAACACACATAGGAGACACCCTGAAGCACGAGGTTCTGGTGAACAGAGGACATTGTACTGCAGGGCACCACAGGGCCTCTTCATAAGGCCACTACTTTTTTTTTTTTTTTTTTTTAGGATTTATTTATTTTGGTGAGAGGGTAGAGGGAGAGAGAGTCTTAAGCAAACTCTGCACTGAGATGGAGCCTGACACAGGCCTTCACAGATTGAACGCTGTCGGGCTCCATCTCCTGTCCCCAAGATCACAACCTAGACGAAACCAAGAATTGGACACCCAACTGACTGCCACACAGGTATTCCTCATAAGCCACTATTTTCCAGAGTAGGAGACAGCTGACTTTTCTAACACATAGAAACAGACATAGAGGTTAGACAAAATGAAGAGATGGATGAATATGTCCTAAATGAAAGAAATGGATGGAATCACAGCAAGAGACCTAAGTGAAACAGATATGTAATATGCCTGATAGGAAATTCAAAGTGATGATCATAAAGATAGTCACTGGACTTGAGAAAAGAGTGGTAAATCTCAGCGAGATCCTCAACAAAGAGATGTAATACAGAAAAGAAGCCATCAGAGATAAAGAGCTCAGTAACTGAAATTAAAAATACGCTAGAGGGGGGATCCCTGGGTGGCGCAGCGGTTTGGCGCCTGCCTTTGGCCCAGGGTGCGATCCTGGAGACCCGGGGTCAAATCCCACATCGGGCTCCTGGTGCATGGAGCCTGCTTCTCCCTCTGCCTGTGTCTCTGCCTCTCTCTCTGTGACTATCATAAATAAATAAAAAAATTAAAAAAAAATACGCTAGAGGGAATGAATAGTAGACTAGAGGAAGCAGGAGAACAGATTACTGACCTGGAGATCAGAATAATGGAAGGCATCAAGCCAAACAGAGAAAGAAAAAAGAATAATGAAAAATGAGAATAGATTAAGGGAATTTAGCAATATTGTCAGGTATAACAATATTCACATTATAGGGATCCTAGAAGAAGAGAGAAAAAAGGGGGAAGAAAATTATTTAAAGAAATAGTGTGGAAAACTTCCTGAATCTAGGGAAGGAAGCAAATCCAGACCCACGAAACACAAAAATTCACCAACAAAATCAACCCAAGGAAATAGTCACCAAAGACATATCCTAATTAAAATGACAAAAAGTAGGGATAAAGAGAATTTATGAAGCAGCAAGACAAAAGACAGTTATATACAATGGAAATCCGATAAGGCTGTCAGCTGATTTTTCAGCAGAAACATTGCAGGCCAAAGGGAGTGGCATGATATATTCAAAGTGCTAACAGAAAACAAAAACCTGGAACTGAGTCTGTCCCACAAGGCTACCATTCAGAATTGAAGGAGAGATGAAGAGTTTTGTAGACAAAAGTTAAATGAATTCCTCACCACTAAGCCAGCTCTATAAGAAATATTTAAAAAAAATTTTTTTATTGGAGTTCGATATGCCAACATAAAGCATAACACCCAGTGCTCATTCCACCAAGTGCCCCCTTCACCGCCTATCACCCAGCCACCCCTATCCCCCCGCCCACCTCCCCTTCCACTATCCCTTGTTCATTTCCCAGAGTTAGGTGTCTCTCATGTTCTGTCACCCTCACTGATATTTTCACTCATTTTCTCTCTCCTTTCCCTTTATTCCTTTTCACTAATTTTTATATTCCCCAAATGAATGAGACCATATAATGTTTGTCCTTTTCCGATTGACTTATTTCACTCAGCATAATACCCTCCAGGTCCCTCCACATCGAAGCAAATGGTGGGTATTTGTCATTTCTGATGGCTGAGTAATATTCCATTGTATACATATACCACATCTTCTTTATCCATTCATCATTTGATGGACCGAGGCTCCTAACATCATTTGGCTCTTGTGGACATTGCTGCTATAAACATTAGGGTGCAGGTGTTCCGGCATTTCATTGCATCTGTATCTTTGGGGTAAATCCCCAGCAGTGCATTTGGTGGGTCGTAGGGCAGATCTATTTTTAACTCTTTGAGGAACCTCCACACAGTTTTCCAGAGTGGCTGCACCAGTTCACATTCCCACCAACAGTACAGGAGGGTTCCCCTTTCTCCACATCCTCTCCAACATTTGTGGTTTCCTGTCTTGTTAATTTTCCCCATTCTCACTGGTGTGAGGTGGGATCTCATTGTGATTTTGATTTGTATTTCCCTGATAGCCAGTGATGCAGAGCATTTTCTCACGTGCATGTTGGCCATGTCTATGTCTTCGTCTGTGAGATTTCTGTTCATGTCTTTTGCCCATTTCATGATTGGATTGTTTGTTTCTTTGCTGTTGAGTTTTATAGATTTTGGCTACTAGCCCTTTATCTGATAACGTCATTTGCAAATATCTTCTCCCATTCTGTAGGTTGTCTTTTAGTTTTGTTGATTGTTTCTTTTGCTGTGCAGTAGCTTTTATCTTGATGAAGTCTGAATAATTCATTTTTGCTTTTGTTTCTCTTGCCTTCATGGATGTATCTTGCAAGAAGTTGCTGTGGCCAAGTTCAAAAAGGGTGTGGCCTGTGTTCTCCTCTAGGATTTTGATGGAATCTTGTCTCACATTTAGATCTTTCATCCATTATGAATTTATCTTTGTGTATGGTGTAAGAGAATGGTCTAGTTTCATTCTTCTGCATGTGGATGTCCAGTTTTTCCAGCACTGTTTATTGAAGAGACTGTCCTTTTTCCAGCGGATAGTCTTTCCTGCTTTGTCAAATATTAGTTGACCATAGAATTGAGGGTCCACTTCTGGATTCTCTATTCTGTTCCATTGATCTATGTGTCTGTTTTTGTTCCAGTACCACACTGTCTTGACCACAGCTTTGTTGTACAACCTGAAATCTG